TTTTATGCTTTTATTATTTTTTGGAATGCATCAGTCGTCCACACAAGCTAGAAACTCTCTCAATCTCACTAGAAAACTTGCTACCTTAGCGAAGAAACTGATGAGTTCTGTGTGATTCTGCTTGAACCATGTAAACTTGACTTCATCCAAACGAACGTCTTCCCTCCAAACGTTCACTGTCAACAGTTCCATGTAAAAGCAGTCAAACTGTCATTTTCAGCGAAGAGAAAAAGAGCCGCTATTTCTCTACTTTTGGAGAAAGTTATGTTTGCTGTTCGTGACGAAGACCAGCCTGATTGGCTAGACGCAGTGCGGTGGCCACATTTATTTGCATAAAGCCTTAAATCTGCTGAACCGTTTGTTTGCGGTAGATGGACAATGGCAAACCGGACATTCCGTTGTTTTCTGTGAAGCCACAAAGGAAAATTCTGCCACTGCAAGCGGCAGCATTCTGCCCCCTGTAGCGCTGAGCGGAATAATCCGTCGAGTTAAATTTCCCAACTTTTGCCATCGACCAACGGTTGAACCGGATGTTGATTTCTGGGGGCCATAGATGCCAACGTCTTCCAGACAGAGCATCCAACTGCCTTTTTCAACCTTAAATAAACAATCTACACTGATAACGCTCTCCTCTGATAATCATCCATTTTGTTGGTAAACATGCAAACATGTGAATGAAACATTGGCCTCAGCTCTGGACTCCTGTCTTGGCTCCCAGCTCCGACTGACTCACAGTTCTTCTGGTTCTAACACACACATCATAGACTTAAATACATAATCGCTGCACTGACTGCTGGATTGTGCGTCAACGTTGCCGCCATATTGGTCCAGGCAGCTTGTTATAACTCTCAGAAGACTGAACTGGAATAAAAATGCCTGAATCGTGTGCAGCTGGGCTGTGTAAACCACAATCCAAACCAAATCTCAGGGAATTACCTTTTACAGGTAAGACTGGACACTTATTTGTGGATGTATTTGGCTATTATGGCATTATGTTGAGAGCTAACTGGTGGGCCACTAGTTGGTCAGGTTATTAATCGCTAATGTTAGCGATTAACGCTAGCTAGCTATGAAAGCTGAGACTTTATAAGAAATGATATGAACTAAATTGCCCATAATCGAGATTTTCATCTATATTCCATTTCTCCAAATTAATTTTTATGACAAGCTGCACGTGTCAGCTGAGTGACTGACATATTATGAAGCTGACTGTAGTTCGATGGCTAGCTAACTTTGCTCACACTTTGGAGGTTTCTCACAGAGAAAGAGTTGAGGAGTCAGTGAGAGTTAGCTTTAAGAAGGGTTTTCAATTAGTAAGTCAATTATTAGTACTTAATGAAGTGCTGTCTAATGTTTTTTCAGTATTTCACAGTGAAAGAACTCCATTCTGACCACGTGGTGCCGGCGCACCATTAAGATAACTGTTGCATGATTTAAGGTGGAACGGAAAAGTCGAATAAGAAGTAGAAAAACTTCAGCCTCGGTTGGAAAAATGTAAATGTTATAGTTCTTTTTATACAGCAAAAACACAGCTCCTCCTCTTTTATTTGCATTCGTGTACAGGCCAGACTTGCCTTGACCAATATGGCGGACACGTTCACGTATGGCAGCAATGGGCTGAAGCAGCCAATGCAGAGTCTATGTCGACCACTGCTGCTAAGGACGCTGCAAAGGACGCACGCTACCTAGCAACCATAGGTGTCGCCATTGCCGGTTTATGAGAAGCCTGGCCACTTCCTATTCCTCCGTTATATCAAAAACCGGACTGCTAAACAGCAGAGGGCGCCTGCGAGCGAGTCCTCAATGAATGGGAGTAAATGGCGCTCAACGGCTAAAAATGAAAAGTTAAAATAGTTTCTAATCACTGAACCAGAACTTTCCATTAATTTTAGAAAGTAGACGGATGTCTTATCTTACCTGTATGTTTCCTTTTTTCTACATCTTCTTTTGGGCAGCAGAAGGCGGGCATTACTGCTAGAGCGTGATGATTGATTGGCGAGTGGAGCAGCTCATTGGCTGTTTGCGCTCACTGACGTCATGAATGCACATGAGGCGCCGTTTTAAACTCCTATAACTCGAGTTTAAAAGCTCTTAAAAATATAACAGCAGTGTTAAAATGTTTCATGATATTCAGTGTTCAGGAAACAATTGTATTCTTTTACATTAAAAATATTTATATTTTATATTTAGCATTTATAAACTATGATTTTGCTCAAATGCTCCATATCAACTTCATTTTCACATCTCGGGAGCGCCCTCTAGCGTTAGAGAATCCCGGAAGACATCGCAGAGTGGAAATTCTCATCTCTACAAATTCTATGGTGTCGCATTGATTCCTGTCAGGCATGTCAACTGCGCCGCCATTTTGGGGAGGTCAGCATTGCTGCTGGACTACATTCAGTACCATTACACTCATGTCTGTGTGATGATTACTGTTTGTGTGATGTTTGTGTAGATATGGCCGTGTGGTTGGTGAAGCACAGAGAACCTGCTGATGTGATTGTTTTTCCTCTGGTTTTATATTAAAGTTATTTCATTTAATAGTCTATTCAGGATCTTAACTTTATGTATAGTTATTTATTTACAGTGATGGTTAAAGCTTTGCAGCTACGTAATTTATAGCATTCCTTAATCCATGTAGATCCATAATAGATTAGCATTAGCACCTTCTTACACGAACCTGAAGTCAGCTTCCTATTTGCCAGCTTCTTGTTTGAGTTTTCCCATTCTACTTTAAATGGTGCTTTAGCCAGCATCTTGTTCGAATTTTCCTGTTCCACCTTAAATGGTTTAGGCACCCGAAAGTGACTGCTGCACCATTTAAGGTGCAATGGGAAAACTGAAACAACAAGCTGTCAAATAGGAAGCCCACCTTAGCTCCGTCCTTCTGTGTTTTGGGGGTTTAATTTATTTTAATGTGTCTTAAGATTAGAAGTGATTCACACATTGATGTATTTGCTGATTGTGAGATTATGTTTCTCCTCGGCTAAACAACTGATGTGTGGGGGTGAACTGTAAATGTGATGTGTGGGGGTGAACTGTAATGTGATGTGTGTGGGGGTGAACTGTAAATGTGATGTGTGGGTGTGAACTGTAAACGTGATGTGTGTGGGGAGAACTGTTAATGTGATGTGTGTGGGTGAACTGTAAATGTGATGTGTGTGGTGTGAACTGTTAATGTGATGTGTGTGGGGTGAACTGTTAATGTGATGTGTGGGGGTGAACTGTAAATGTGATGTGTATGGGGTGTAGTGTAAATGTGATGTGTGTGGGGGTGTAGTGTAAATGTGATGTGTTTGGGTGAACTGTAAATGTGATGTGTGGGGGTGAACTGTAAATGTGATGTGTGTGGGGTGAACTGTAAATGTGATGTGTGGGGGTGTATTGTAAATGTGATGTGTGGGGGTGTACTGTAAATGTGATGTGTGTGGGGTGAACTGTAAATGTGATGTGTGTGGGGGTGAACTGTAAATGTGATGTGTGGGGTGTACTGTAAATGTGATGTGTGTGGGGTGAACTGTAAATGTGATGTGTGGAGGTGAACTGTAAATGTGATGTTTGGGGTGAACTGTAAATGTGATGTGTGGGGTGGACTGTAAATGTGATGTGTGGGGGTGTAGTGTAAATGTGATGTGTGGGGTGAACTGTAAATGTGATGTGTGGGGGTGAACTGTAAATGTGATGTTTGGGGTGAACTGTAAATGTGATGTGTTTGGGGTGAACTGTAAATGTGATGTGTGGGGGTGTAGTGTAAATGTGATGTGTGGGGGTGAACTGTAAATGTGATGTGTGGGGGTGAACTGTAAATGTGATGTGTTTGGGGTGAACTGTAAATGTGATGTGTGGGGGTGAACTGTAAATGTGATGTGTGGGGGTGAACTGTAAATGTGATGTGTTTGGGGTGAACTGTAAATGTGATGTGTGGGGGTGAACTGTAAATGTGATGTGTGGGGGTGAACTGTAAATGTGATATGTTTGGGGTGAACTGTAAATGTGATGTGTTTGGGGTGAACTGTAAATGTGATGTGTGGGGGTGTAGTGTAAATGTGATGTGTGGGGGTGAACTGTAAATGTGATGTGTGTGGGGTGAACTGTAAATGTGATGTGTGGGGGTGTAGTGTAAATGTGATGTGTGGGGGTGAACTGTAAATGTGATGTGTGGGGGTGAACTGTAAATGTGATGTGTTTGGGGTGAACTGTAAATGTGATGTGTTTGGGGTGAACTGTAAATGTGATGTGTGGGGGTGTAGTGTAAATGTGATGTGTTTGGGGTGAACTGTAAATGTGATGTGTTTGGGGTGAACTGTAAATGTGATGTGTGGGGGTGTAGTGTAAATGTGATGTGTTTGGGGTGAACTGTAAATGTGATGTGTTGGGGTGAACTGTAAATGTGATGTGTGGGGGTGTAGTGTAAATGTGATGTGTGGGGGTGAACTGTAAATGTGATGTGTTTGGGGTGAACTGTAAATGTGATGTGTTTGGGGTGAACTGTAAATGTGATGTGTGTGGGGTGAACTGTAAATGTGATGTGTGGGGGTGAACTGTAAATGTGATGTGTGTGGGGGTGAACTGTAAATGTGATGTGTGGGGGTGTACTGTAAATGTGATGTGTGGGGTGAACTGTAAATGTGATGTGTGGGGTGAACTGTAAATGTGATGTGTGGAGGTAAACTGTAAATGTGATGTGTTTGGGGTGAACTGTAAATGTGATGTTTGGGGTGAACTGTAAATGTGATGTGTTTGGGGTGAACTGTTAATGTGATGTGTGGGGGTGAACTGTAAATGTGATGTGTTTGGGGTGAACTGTAAATGTGATGTGTTTGGGGTGAACTGTAAATGTGATGTGTGGGGGTGTACTGTAAATGTGATGTGTTTGGGGTGAACTGTAAATGTGATGTGTGTGGGGGTGAACTGTAAATGTGATGTGTGGGGGTGTAGTGTAAATGTGATGTGTGGCTGAACTATTGCTTTAAGCACGTTGTCCCCGCGGTGTCCGGCTCCAGGTGACAGGGAGGGACTGTAAGGGTGCACCTTGAGCAGCACTATATAAAGCAGAGAAAAGAGCAGTTAGACATTAGCAGGGTGAGAGAGAGAGAGAGGGAGAGAAAGAGAGAGAGAGAGAGAGAGAGAGAGAGAGAGAGAGAGAGAGAGAGAGAGAGAGAGAGAGGTGGAAGCTCAGTGTTGAACAGTGCGAGCTGGGGTTGTTTTCGCTGTTATTTAAGTGTTCCTGCTTCTCTCTGCTCCTCGCTCGCTGTTAGCCTTTAGCGGTTAGCCGCGTCGTTCTCGCTGACTCCAGTCTGACTGAGGAGGATGAGGAACAGCGACGTTTTCCTCATCGACCTGATGCTCTTATGCATCGCCACTGAAACAAGTGCGTGGACTCCGCGGAACGCCACTGACTCGCTCTCAGGAGCGAACGGGACTGTCAGCAGCAGCAGCGCGGAGGAGCACCTGGACGCATCTCTGCCCAGATCCAGGAGAAAGCGCTACATCTCCCAGAGCGACATGATCGCCATCCTGGATTATCATAACAAAGTTCGAGCCAGCGTGTTCCCACCTGCAGCCAACATGGAGTACATGGTGAGTGTCTCAGTCTACGTTAGGTCTCCAAAAGTATCCAGAGACCCCTTCATACTGAATGCAGCTACTTCAAAGGGGAATTCCACCGATTTTTCAAAATATCTGCATAATTCAGTGTATTTATTGTAGAGAAACTGACAGACTTTAGATCTAGATAGATGTGGTGATGGGAACCAGGAGTCACAGTGTCCACAAACCTAAATATAGCCCCTTTATTTACTATCCAAACCCACCAGTGAACCTACACGTGTCTTGAGTGTTTTATATGTAGTGTTGATGATGGTAAAATAGTCATACAACTGAAAAAAATATGTTTTCTTGCGGGACTGTTTTGCCTCACAGCGATCTGCATGTACCCCTCCGCCAAGAATGGATTCAAATAAATGGATTCGAATACGTTTTAAGACAAAACGTAAACTATCATAAAACAATATCAGACATCAGGCAACATATTCATGACCATTTTATGTAATAACTTTCTGTGAGGGACATTTCAGCGGCATTAACCTCTTCAGACGTCTGGTTCCTATTACCACCACTGTGAACAATTCTGGCTTGGCAAGTTTCTCTAGAACAGAGCGTTTCTCACCAAACCACTCTGAGCGACTTTGGTTACACTTTGGTTAATCATGCAGAAATGTTGAAAAATCATTGGAGTTCCTTTTTAAGGTTCTGTCAGTCGCTCACACAGTTTATAACCTCAATGTAAAGGCATTGCTAATTGAATAGGATGCTCTGGAGCAGCCACACATGAGCCTAACGTCACCATATCCAATGCCAAGCATCAGGGGGTACAAAGACCCCCAGCTTTGGGCTGTGGAGCAATGAAACTGTGTTCTGTTGAGGGATGGAGAACCTTTGGAATGAGTTGGAGTGGCATTTTTCATCCATCCAACATTAGTACCTGACTAGCTATTGCTCTTGTGGCTGAATGCAGTCATATCTTCACAGCAATGTTCCAGCATCTAGTCTTTAGTCTTCCCAGAAGAGTGGAGGCTGTTACTGCAGCAAAGGAGGACAAACTCACTGTTAATACCCTTCATTTCAGAAGAAACGCTGCTTGAGCAGGTGTCTACAAACCTTTTGAGCATGAATAGATGGTTCTTCAAAGGTTCTTCAGTAAGGACAATGGTTCTATTTAGAACTAGGAGTTCTATGTAGAACCATTTCATGCTTAAATGGTTCTTTGCATGGTGAAATGGTGCTTCAGATTAATGGAGAATGGGTTGTATACGGTTCTATAGCAGCAAAAAGGGTTTTTTTATTGTTATGATGTCAAGCTTGCAACAATAGAAGAACCTTTTTGGTACTATTTAGAACCATTCAGATTCAGATTGGCCGGTCTTTTGTATTTAATGTGTCTGGACTGTTCTGCCACCTGCTTGGACGCTTTTTTTTCCTCAAAGGAAGGGAAGAGGTTTGCAATCCTTTATGTCATTCAGTACTTTAAGTGTTGATCTCTGGATGATGATTCCTCTCATGAATATATATTTGAAATGATTCTGTAAGTTTTGCATTACGTTTTTCATTTTATGTTCAGCTGAGGAAACTCCAAAATCAGGTTGGCGAAAACTTACTGGATCAATTTAGCTTTGTAACAAACAAAATATACATTATGCATTTTCTTTACAAAAGTACACTAAAGTAAAAAAAGCTCCATCCTATAGGTTGATGTATGTGCATTAAAGCAATAGATTCACATATTGACCTTTTATTGACTGTAACTGATGTATTGGTCCACTCTTACTAACCAGCCGCCTGTTTGAGGGCAAAAGTTCACCATTTGGGGTCGTTTTGGTGCTTTCTGTTGCACCCAAAGCCTGAATGGAAATGGAAAGTGCAGCTGTTGGAGAAACAGCGCCACGCTCAGTTGTAACGCGACTAGTTCCACTGTCAGGTGTATGTAAGGTCTCCCCCTGCTGGACAGTCTGAAACGGTGATCTGCTCTGTGTAATATTACCTTACAAGGCCGGTCAGGCAAGATGGACATATTTTCAAACATATTTCCTAAATCTGGGATCAAGGTGGAATTTAAACAGATATGTGTTGCTTTTAATAGAAATAGCGTTCGTGTTTTAGCGCTGCTTTCACTGGGGTGGGAGAGCTGTGGTGTGATCTACCATCATAGGATCAGGTCTTTCTGGACTGGATGAATGGATTGCTGTCCAACTGACTGTTTTTTTTCTTTGAGCGGTAAAGGCCTCAGCCACCTGGATTTACTGGCAAATTAGGGCAGGAATATCTTCACACTGTTGTGTGTTTTGGGTTGATATATGTTAGGGTTCTCCTCCAAACATGTTGAAGAACTCAGTGATTTGGAGAGATGTGCAACTTTTGCAGAAACATTGAGAGAAAAAGGGGGAAATTAAGCAAAAAGTTGAAAATAACTATAGATCTGATCGTGTATTCTTTGTAATCTGTATAATTGCCTCTCTGGATGCTATTTTTTTTATATTGAATAAAAGCTAGCACTGGCTAATGCAAATGAGATTATACTACAAACACACAGGATTGTTTTTGAACATTTTCATGTTATTATTTCATATTATTTTATCAAAAACACAATTAATACATTGTTAATTTTGATAAAAAATACATTTTCAGTAAACACTAATGTAAACACCATAAAACAGTAACTGACTTTATAAAGGGGAAACATGGTCTTGTGCCAGAGGCACCTGAAGTTTTATTACACGCTTCTACAACCTAAGAATAGCTCAGCCAGTTTGCACTGAAGACCCTGTAGTGTGTAACAAGCCTTAGTGTGTAATAAGCCTGTGATTTTAAGGGTCAAGGGGAACTGTTGGTGTTTTTTTAAAAATGTTCCATAATTTAATAGTTACGGTGTAAACAAAGGTGCATTCTAGAGTCAGAACTGTTCACAGTGGTGGTGACAATTGGTTATGAATACGCTGCCCAGAGCCTGAGACACTGTTTTATGATAGTTCTGAGATAATGTTTTGGCCTAAAATGGAATTTGTAAAATCCATTCATGGTGGAGAGGCACATACAGGGTGTTGTGAGGTAAAATAGTGCCCAAAGAAAATGTATTTGATCAGATTTACCACTATTTTGCCATCATCAACATTCCATATAAACACTCAGAAGATGTGTGTAGATTTACTGGTGGTTTTGGATAGTAAATAAAACGGATATGCGTTGTAGACGTTGTGACTCCTGGTTCCTATCACCACCACTGTAAAGAAATCTAAGCCTATAGGTGTCACTACAGTTAACAATTTCACATCAAACCACTCTGAATGACTGTTTACATCTCAACGATTGAATTATACAGAAATTTTGAAAGATTGGTGGAGTTCTCCATTAAATGCCGTGTGCTGTGTTTCTGCCATACTGATACTGATTACATGATGACTGACACAGAAGATAAAAACTATTCTCAGGCTGTGGCTCAGCTGACTGCTTACATCGCTTATAGCAAGAAAAACGTACATAACACGTTTTATTTTGGTCAGCATTAAGCTTTTTATGACTACTGGAGTTCCATATGATATATTAGCAGTTACTCTATGTTCAGTAATACTGATCTGGATTTCTGTAGTGTAATTTCATTTGCAGTATGCCAAAGCCCCGCCAATATATTGGTTGGCTGATAATATTGGCCAATATTGACATCAAATTTATCAGTATTGGCCAAAATCCCTTTATAAAGAACAGATAATTAATGACTTATTTTATATTGAAACATACAGACACACTGAAAATGTGTGGCTGTTGGACTGTGTTTAATTTTTAGCAATATTAAATTATATCAGAGTTATTGGGGCCTAAAAATCAGAGTCGGTCTCAAAATGTTTATAACACTCAGGCAGTAATGCTAATTGGTCTGCTGGTGGCTTTGATCCTTATAAGCCAAGTAAGAATTTTTTGGGTGAAGTATCTCTTTAATATTTAGCTGTACCAGTGAGGGATCTCTCAGTCTTCATCAGTGCGCTCTGTGTATGAGCAGGTGTGGGACGAGGGATTGGCTCGGTCAGCGGAGGCCTGGGCAGCCACCTGTATCTGGGACCATGGACCACCATACCTGCTCCGGTACCTGGGCCAAAACCTCTCCGTCCGCACCGGCAAGTAAGTCTGACGGACTCTAGACTGGGTGTTTGAAACAGGCTCTTATAAACTGAAGAACGTTCATAACGTTCATAAAGTTCATAAGATAGTTAGGTAACCCTTTCATGACAACTGACATAAAACCTACATAAACATTCATAAAGGCTTATTCTAATAAGCTGCAGTCATAAAGTCATAAAGGCTGCTTTTGTCAACTTTAACATAACACCTATATCAGGTGACAAGTTTGTGCTGACATTAGCTGCTAATACTTGTTTTGGGTGAAATGACAGCTGATTTTTTAGTGGCGTTGTGTCCATTTCACAGTTCGTCTCCTGTGTCTTATACTGTCCATTTCACATGCAATTCCTAAAATACTATACTGGACATTTTAATCCTGACGAATTTTTTGACCCATGTTGCTCCCAAAGGCGACAAAAATGGCCTGAAACTATCCGACATCAAGGTAGCTTTTTGAGTGTTTTAGCATTTATATTAAGCTTCATAATATAAACAGCAAAATGAAACTCACTTTATGTAAGGGTCAGAGAAAACATGCATAACTCTGTCATTACAGTGTCATGGCATTGCCATAGTGATTGCGTTTACATGCACTCAGTAAACCGATCATATGTCTGATTTCTGCTGTTATCTGATTATTCAAATGGTCATGCAAACAGCACACTCTGATTTCTTAGATCGGAGTAAGGTCTAGAAATCTGATTAAGAAATCCAATAAAGAGGCTGGATTTGAGCTCAGTAATCAGATTTCTCAGTGCATTTAAACTCTTACTCTGATTTCTTTCGAATTTCTGCTTTGTTGATCAGTTGATCAGTTAAATGTCTCTCAACGTTTGACTGTTTTACGAGGCTGAAGTCGTTTCTTATTCTCCAGCTTCTTGTTCGAATTTACCCGTTCCACCTTAAATTCTAACTGAGGCGCGGAATGTAAATGCGGCACCATTTAAGGTGGAACGGGAGAATTCGAAAGAGAAGCGACTTCATCTTCGCCACTTTTTAGTGTTTGACAGTCTCTTGTTGCAGATTTACGTACCAGGAAACCAACTGCGCTGCTTATAAATGCGAATAACGCATCGCTGCTATGTGACCTGCAGTCTGCATGCCGGTTCTCAGTCGTTGCGAAACAGGGCTTTTGCTATATGCTGCACACGTCCCGTCTCAAAGATACTTTACTGACACAGCGACCCCCCCCCACCCCCGCCTCCGTCTCTACAACGAGACCAAAACCGAAGTTATAAAATCACTAAAGAAAACGGGTAGAATAGCTGTAACGTGCTGTGTGGACGTCCATCACCACTGCATCTTATTTCACCGTAACTGCGCATTTTATCGCAGATGAGTAGCAGCAGCTTCTCGTTCTCCAAACAAGAGCAGTGAATGAGAGACTTCCAGTTCACCTGCCACATCACTTCCATTTGATTTATTAATAAAAGATATTGGAAGTAAATTCATTATGGATCATTACAAATACTTTGCTTTAAAAGTACCAAGTCACTGTAAATAACAATAACACAGAGTCACTTAGTCACTTTAAAATGTATATTGTCTTTATATTCTGTGTATATTTTGTGTATATTCAATATATTTCAGTTGTTTTTCTTGTATTTTTATTTTTACTTATTTACTTTCTGTAGAGTGATTAGCTGAGCCTCACCACAAGCATTTCAATGCATAAATGTCCTGACATGTTGTATAAGTGACAAATAAACTTGAAACTTGAACTCGAAACTGGAGCTCACACAGTGAGAGAATATAAATGCTATATAGAAAAAAAGATGCATCGATAATCGGTTTATAATCGCATCGCAGCCTCTGAATCGTAATCGAATCGAATCGTGAGGTGCCTAGAGATTCCCACCCCTAGTCAGTACAGTGTCGGGTCATAGAAGTTCATAAAGATCTTATAGAAATCAATATGAGATTCACTTTTCTTTATGATAAGTGGAATTAGCCTTTAGTCTTGATAAATGTTTATGTAAGTTTATGTCAGCTGTCATGGTAGAATTATGTTATTGTCGTGCAGCATTATGAACATGACCTACAGTAATGAGTTACCCAACATTTTTAAAAGTTTAGGGTTTTGTAATTGATGTTGTTTGAGAATTGATTCTTCAGATCCGAGTCACATACCATGTGTTGGTCAGTTTCAGCACCATGGACAGACTATGAAAATTTTTCCAGTATGAGTTACTTTATGTGCTGTAGGGGAATCTAAACGAGTATGATTGACATATGTTTAGATATTATATTAAATTTGCCCTGAATTAATATATGGCAACCCATCGTGTCCTCTTCACTGCTGGTAAAGTTGATTCAGTGATTCAGCAGCTTTTCAGGTCACATGATGGGGCACTGAGTTGAAGATGACACACATAGTGTTCAGCTTTGACATTAATAGCTTTGTGTGCAGTTATGTTCTGAATGAAACTTTAAAGTTTGGCTGCACGACTCTGAATGACTCTGTTTACTTCTCAAAGACTGAATTATACAGAATTTTTTTTTTTTTTAAAATGTGGATTTTCACTGGAAAGCCAGTCAATAGCACTTACCTTCCCACTCAGTGGCACTTACAAATTTCCTTGTCCCTTCCCAGCTATCGCTCTATCCTCCAGCTGGTTAAGCCCTGGTACGATGAAGTGAAGGACTACGTGTTTCCATATCCACGAGACTGTAACCCCAGGTGCCCTATGCGCTGTTATGGACCCATGTGTACACATTATACACAAGTAAGTGTGAAAACAAGCTGTAGTTTCTGACAAGCTCATCAGTAAAGGTTGAGTTAGAACAATAGTTTGGTTAAAAAATTGAATGTACATTATTTTACCACCTACCCCAGATGTAGTTGATCAAGAGGACACAGTTGGTGTCTGAAGTTTGCTTCTGTAGTTTACACTGCTGCTGTGGTTCTAATGTAGCTAAGAAGTAAGGGAAGATTGTAATAATAGAATTGTGCAAAACATCCACATCTTTAACCACATAAGCAAATTTTCATGCAGTTTTTTTTTTACAATGCTATTGATGTGCTTAAACTTCAATTACTAGTTAGCTACATTAGGCCTGTAGCACCAGTGCTAAAGCTAAAGAAGAATGGCTGATTGGCTACATTTGAGGTCAGGAGAAAATTATGTGAGTTTAATTTTTTTGACTCTGCTTTTAGTTTAGTTTAAGATCTGATGACCTGTGCTTTATGCAGATGGTCTGGGCGACATCAAACCGAGTCGGCTGCGCAATTCAGACGTGTTACAACATGGTGGTGTGGGGAGCAGTGTGGAGACAGGCGACTTACCTGGTTTGCAATTACTCTCCAAAGTGAGTACCGTGTCTTAGATAAACACAATGGGTATGTAGAAAATGAACCCTTAGAAGTTTAGCATTATTATCTATGTTTTTGCAATGAAATTTACCTAATTACATATTCAACTACATTATTAGTTACATTTCCTTTTGTTTTACATTCTGTATCTTACATTCTGCTTGTTTTAATGTCAAAAAATGTAAATGCAAAAAACAAGACTGTACACACAACAAGCTTTTCATCTACAACCCCATTTCCAAAAAAGTTGGGACGCTGTGCAAAGTGTAAATAAAAACAAAATGCAATGATGTGCAAATCATTTAAACCCTATATTTAATTGAAAATAGTACAAAGACAACATATCAGATGTTGAAACTTTTATTATTTTTTTGAAAAATTTATGCCCATTTTGAATTTGATGCCAACAACACGTTCCAAAAAAGTTGTGATGGGCAACAAAAGGCTGATAGAGTTGTGCAATGCTAAAAAAAACATCTAGTGGTTGATTGGCAACAGGTCAGTAACATGACTGGGTATAAAAAGAGCATCTCAGAGAGGCGGAGTCTTTCAGAAGTAAAGATGAGGAGGGGTTCACCACTCTGTGAAAGATTCTGTGGGCAAATAGTGCAACAATTCAAGAATAACGTTTCTCAACATAAAATAGCAAAGAACGTCTGCTTTTCATCATCTACGGTACATAATAACATTAAAAGATTCAGAGAATCTGGAGAAATCTCTGTATGTAAGGGACAAGGCCAAAAACCAGTATTTGCTGGCCGTGATCTTTGGGCCCTCAGACAGCACTGCATTAAAAACAGACACGGTTCTGTAGTGGAAATCACTGCATGAGCTCAGAAACACTTCTGACAAACCACTGTCTGTGAAAACAGTTCATCACTGCATCCACAAGTTAAAACTCTAAAATGCAAAGAAGAAACCAAATATAAACAGGATCCAGAAATGCTGCCACCTTCTCTGGGCCCGAGCTCATTTAAGATGGACTGAGAGGAAGTGGAAAAGTGTTCTGTAGTCCGGTGAATCAACATTTGAAATTCTTTTTGGAAATCATGGACACTGTCTCCTCCGGGCTAAAGACCACTCAGCTTGTTATTATCACAGTTCAAAAGCCAGTATTCATGATGGTATAGGGGGGCATTAGTGCACATGGCATGGGTGACGTGCACATGTGTGAGGGCATCATTAATGCTGAATGAATGTTTTGACAACATATACTGCCATGAAGACGACGTCTTTTTCAGGGAAGGCCTTGATTATTTCAGCAAGACGATGTAAAACCACATTCTACATGTATTACAACAGCATTGCTCTGTATTAAAAGAGTACAAGTGCTAAACTGACCTGCCTGCAGTCCAGACCTGTCACCACTGAAAACATTTGGCACATTATGAAATGAAAAATACAACAAAGGAGCCCCTGAACTGATGAGCAACTGAAATCCTATATTAAACAAGAATGGGAAACATTTCTGTTTCTAAACTACAGCAGTGTCTCCTCAGTTCCCAAACACTTACAGAGTGTTGTTAAAGAAGAGGTGATGAAACACAGTGGTAAACAGGCCCCCGTCCCAACTTTTTTTGTTGTGTTGTTGGCATCAAATTCAGAATGGGCATATATTAAAAAAATAATAACATTTCTCGGTTTTTCAAAAGGTAAATAAAAATATTAGTAAAAAAATCAACAAAATATAATTTCAGGAGGGGTGCTCAAACTTTTGAAAATGACTGTATTAATCAATTATTGTGATTAAAAATTATTAAAATTATTTAGTAATGGCTGTGAAACTAATATGTAATTTACGTAGCTATAAAAACAGGTTATGAAAATGGGTGTTTTTTGAAAAGAATAAAAGCTGATGTAAAATGGAAAACACACTTTTATTTTGCTAAATAATTATATATATATATATATATATATATAATTAATTATTTGGATATATTCATTATTTTTATATTTTATATATTTTATAGTGTATGTATGTATGTATATATATATATATATATATATATATATGTATATTTAAAAAAAAAATCAATGGGAGACAGTTTTGGACTGCAGGCAGCCCGGTGTAGCACATGCACTCTGACTATGCAGCCATTGCATTACAGAATGTTTCTTGCTTGTCAAGTTAAAGTAAGCATGAACGTCCCTGAAAATGATGTCATCTAAAAGGCAGCATGTGTTGCTCCAAAATGTGTTTATATCTTTCAGTATTAATGATGCTTTTACAGCTTTAACTATGGCACCTCATACCATGACACCATGATTTTGAACTTTACACTGGTAACAATTTTCATGGTCCTTTACTCCTTTGGCCAGGGGAACACCACGTCCACTATTTCTGTAAATCTGCAAGTTTGACTCATTAGACCACAATACACATTACCACTGTGTTTCAGTCCATTTCAGATGAGCTCAAGTCGGCCGTGTTTTTGGACTTTGTTGACATATGGCTTCCACTGTGCATAATACAGTCTTAACTTGCATTTGTGGATGCAGCGATGGACTGCATCTTCGTGAAAACTGCATAAGTGGGTTTTAAGAACAAATTCCTTCTTAAAAACATTTGATGAATGAGGCCCACTGTTCAAACATTTGGAGTATTGACATAGTTTTTGGTGAGCCTTGACCCATCCTTGCTCATAAAGGACTCTGCCTTTCCTGCATGCTCCTTTTATACCCAGGCATGATTGCACACGTGTTCAAGATGTAAACATTTCACAATATTTCTAGTCTTAAATTGTCCTATTCCAGCTTTTTTGGAATGTTTTTCAGGGATTAATTTCAGAATGAGCATATATTTACAAAAAACGATAGAGTTGAGGAAGTGTAACATTAAATATCTTGTCTTTGTACTGTTTTTGTTTAAATACAGTTTAAAGCAGATTTATAACTGCTGTTCATTTTTATTTGCATTTTACCTCCTGTCCCAACCTATAGGATTTGAGGTTTGCGCTCATGAACACAAATGTGGTATGCATTGAAAGTCTGCACTTAGACAGAATTTCTCTGTTATTTCTACGAGTGAGAAATAATATCAGAGTAAAATAATAACGTACACCATATTTTAGGTATCACTGGCGATAATGCCTAAGGGTTGATTACACCATAGCACAGGGGTCTTTAGTCCAACCCTGGAGAGCCATAGAACAGCACTGCACACTGTGGAGTTTTCGCCGCTTCCAAACATCTGATTCCACTTATGAAGGTTTTGGTAATTAGCTGATGAGTTGACTCAGCTGTTGTAGAGCAGGGAAAACTCTAAACCTAAGATCTGTGGTCACCAGAGACTAGAACTGGGAAATGCATTGAAAAAAGTCATGCACTGAATTCCAACATGAATGAAATATATTACATCAACACAATTCTGTCTTTCAGTTTACTTGCCTTTGGCAATAACTGTGTTGATGTAATGCATTTTATTCATGTGGAAATGATAAACACACTTCAATCAAGTACATTTTTTCAGTGTGCTGTCTTCTTCAACCCTTGAATGCGTGGGAGTGAAAACACTATACTCACAATCAACTAACCTACAGTCAATACATTGAATTTACTTTATTTTATTCACATTTGGACGTCTTTTCCACATGAATAAAATAAGTAAAAGACATAATTGTGTTAACGTAATGTATTTTATTAAAGAAAACATCATTTGGTACAGTATTTTAGCCCTGCTCACTGACATTGAGGTTATAAGGAGTGTACATTTTCTTATATTTAAATTTTTTCTTTGCCTGAGATCCACTTATGAAATATGTGTTGTTTCATGAATCATACATTACATGATCATAACCTCAAGCTCTATTTACCCCTCAGAATCAAACAGGATGTGTTTATCACTGATATACAGTCAGGTGAAAAAGTTTTCAGAATCTTTTGTTTTTATTATTGAATATGTATATATATTTAGACATAATTTGAAAATGCCTTTTAGCCTTTACATCGTGTGTAAATTTTGTGAAGAATGGACCAAAACGGACTAAATGGGCTCCGACAACAGCATATATATATATATATATATATATGGCTACACTGTACTGTGCTTCGTTCAAACAGCAGTCCAGGCTGAAACACTCCTTATAACTTCAATGTCAGTGGGCGGGGCTGAAATGCTGTAGTAAATGATGTACAGCATACTACAGCATTGAGTTCAAAATGTGCTGTTTTTAAAGCCTAATTTGCATGTTTCACATGTTTCATGATACATCAAACTCATGAAAATAGAAAGGTTCTCCATGATGATGGGCCTTTTATGTGAAATAGTACATATCGCTGTCGTTGGAACAAAACCTTGTATCTCCATTTTTGCTGTTTTTCAGTTTTTGACATAATTTGAAAATGCCTGTTGCTCCTTTACATTGTGTGTAAATTTCATGATGAATGGACCAAAAGAAACGGCCCAAAATGACTTGGAAACAATTCTGGTTCCATTGACTTACATTAAAAGTAAAGTATGTTTTTTCCTTCTTCTGTAAAGTTACCATTTTGAAGATATAAGGTTTTGTTCTGACAGCGATAAGTTTAAATCAAGTCAGTTCTCTGCATTATTTTGTGTATTTTCTTATTGTATTTAGATGGAATGTTTGACAAACATGTGAAAGAAAGTTTACAATCCTGTTTTTCAGGGGTAACTGGATAGGAGAAGCTCCATACAGAGTGGGCGTCCCATGCTCAGCATGTCCCCCCGAGCTACGGAGGCTCATGTAGCAACAACATGTGCTTCCCTGCCGTGAATTCAAACTTCATGTACTGGTTTAAGTAAGCTGTCCATTTTAAATGTCATCGGTAAAGAAGTTTTATAAAACAACATTTTTGTGTGTCATTTTCTATGAATAATACGAAAAAAATCCAGAAATTGTGCTAATGTTAACAATTTTTATGACTCTTTTTTTAGTATGGACCATCATATTGATGCTTTTGATAACTTTTTAAATGCTTTTGAGTTTTCTACTGGTACACAGTTAAAGGGAAATTCCACCCATTTTTCAAAAATTCTGCACAATTCAATTCATGTAAACAAAACAAAATGGTTCATTGTAGAATTGCTCACTCTGACTTTTACAGTGGTGGTGATAGGAACCAGGGGTCACAATGTCCGCAATACGAACCATTTTTACTCACTATCCAAAATGACCAGTGAACCTACCTGTGATAGGAGTTTTATTTGTAATATTGTTATACGAGTAAAATAAACGTTTTAGGGACTATTTTGCCTTTTTACAACCTGCTTAAACCTCTCCACTATTGATGGACCTTAAAAATGAGTGTGCATTTTACATTTTAGGTTTCTCTAGAATGAAGCATTTCACATGAAAACACTCTGAATGAAGAGCAAATTATGCAGAAATGATAAAAAAGGTGGAATTCCCCTTTAAAGCCTGTGATAAATCTATTTTTCCATACTTAGTGTGTATTCCTGTGTTGCTGATGCTTATTTTGACTAGTTGTTACAATGATTTACTGTCAGGACTTTTCCATGGTGCTTAACCATAACTGTCTTTGTATTTTGGTCAACGACAAACCTTTATAGTCTTTATAGATAACAGGTTACTGTTCCATGGTCATATAGCAGCTACAGTCTGTTAACAGTGTTTAAAGTGGCCTGTGTGTGTGTGTGTGTGTGTGTGTGTGTATGTGTGTGTGTGTGTGTGTGTGTGTGTTGATCAGCTAAATTCCATGCCAACTCACCTGGGGCCTAACAGTTCACATGGAGTTCTATGGAGAGTTTCAAGCAAAAGCTTCAATATTATTCATGCAACCCTGCAGAGCTTTTAATTTTGAATTGTTAAAGTTTGCTTTATCAGGTTCTAAATAACATATTAAATACTGAGTTAAAGTGCTTGCAGAATGACTGAACTGAGCTGAGAGATTAACTGGGTATAAGTACAAAACCAAAATAATATTTCATTTTGAATGAAGTTTTATGTTAATCATGTCAATGTTTATGTATACTGAAATTTTAAAATTTGGATTTTATTTCTACTATGTAAAGCTCAGCAAATGCATAGAAATTATGCCATATTAAATGCATATTAAATAAGTTGTGTTAACTTTGCCACAATTAACAGTCTAAGGCCAAAAAAAATGTATATATTGTATTTACTATTACCAAGCATGGTTCAGTACCGAAAACCAGTCAGGTATTACATTGAAAAAGGAAATATTTATATAATACATTGCTGTTGCGGTGGCCATAGTGGTCCCCCGTGCTGAGCTCCTTCGCCCTGGCATCATCTGATCTAGGTTTAGGTTAAGCTTAAAGTTACCTGCTTCTCAGTTTATGCTTATTTAACCCTTCATTATTTAAGGCTTAATTTCACCGAGTGATATAAGCAAACTTCACCTGCAGTAACAGCAACTATTGCCACCCCTTGTAGCAGTTTGTACCTGAGTTTTTTCATGGAAATCGATGACACAACCTGTCAGGCCTTCGGTGAATTGGTGTGGAATAACCAGTATGCAGATGTTTGGGGTTTTTTTGCTACCAGTACCTCTCACCAGTCATTTAAGCACAGACATGGAAATCCATGCTGAGACAATGTTATAACTGGGGATGCATCGATACTGATATCAGCCTGATACTGTCTTCAGGCACTCGTACTTGTACTTGCCAAAAATGTACATCCAGTGTCACCGATACCGTGTGGCGTAAGCCGAGTGTACACTACACTACCGCGCTAATGTAAAAATGACTCAAGCTGGCAGTGAACAGGGGTCCGCTCACACAGTGAGGTACTGCTGATGCCATTGGTCACTTTAAACTTACCACCTTGGAACATTTAAATTCCTATCAGACATAGACTGTCCATTTTTTAAGAGGGACACAAACACACTCCCAACCACTTCCCCAACACGGGTAGAGATAAGTAGGCAAGGCAAAAAAGTCTATTTTGACTTTACTCTCGTTGACTGAATAGAATTGAGAAGCATAAACATTAATATGTTAAGCATAAACGTTAATATTGTCCTTGTAACAGAGGCTGTAGGGTGACCGGATTGTCCTACCCATGTACACTTCCTGTTGAAAAACCCAACATAGACTAGCATGGAATTCTGGTCTAAGCTAGTTTATGCTGGTCTAGTGCTCATCTGGTGCTGGTTTAGCAAGTCACCCAGCAAGGTCATGCTGGTTGACCAGCATACCAGCATCCATAACACAACATGTGTTGGTTTTGCTGGTGATCAGCATGTCAGCTTCCATTGCTGCTGGCCAAACTACCATCATTCAGAATGCTACGTATGCTATGTTTTACAGGTGACCAGCCATGCTGGTCTTGACTGGTTTTTCTTGCAGGGTCACCGCCTGGTTTAGTTTAAGTGCACAGTGGTACAAGTTAGCAAAGCTGCAGTAGCTCAGCTTGTCAGCATTTCAGCTCAGCACTTGGACAGTTTGTTATTTTGAATGAAGCAGCTTTACTGATAATTGTATTGATAGAAGAGCTGTCTGTAGGGGCTCTGTTTCACGTAGATGTTGTATGTTTCACATACGTATAGGCTTTGTCTGAACACGATGGTCTATTCAAACACCAAAGAACAAGCTGCCATTTTGCGGCAACGCTGCTTGCTTATGTCCGGTCTGTTTTCGAACATGCGCAGAGCAGAGAAATCCGAAAGAAATCAGAGTAAGGTTTCATATTGCACTGAGAAATCTGATTACTGAGCTAAAATCCAGCTCTCTTTATCGGATTTCTTACTCGGATCTCCTAGACCTTACTCCAATCTTAGAAATCGGAGTGTGCTGCTTACATGACCATTTGAATAATCAGATAACGGCAGAAATCTGATAATGATTGGATTATTGAGTGCATGTAAATGCATTCAGTGTGAGCTCTTTGAAAGCGCTAACCTGCTAAATCCTGCTGGGGCTGTGCTGCAGAGACTGTTGTTGAAAGAGATAAATGAGGATCAAAACTATGAAACATGCTTTACTTACAGCAGTACAGAAGCGCTATTAGGGTGTGAAACAAAACCTGCTCTTATTCACTGCAGCGTGACTTGATTTGGGGTAATTAATGTAGCATGGCGAACTAATGCACATCATTTAAAATCAGCTAGATTTGAATGATTTAACTGTTAATGTACATTGCACCTATTTACACTAACAGCTAATGCAAATTCTTAATTCTAAGTAGGTAACTCAATATGGTGTCGGTAAATACCAAAACGTACTCGTACTCGGCCTGAAAAAAATGATATCGATGCATCCCTAGTTATGATTACTGCTATTACTTCTGATCACAAATGGTGCTCATTAATGCTATAGTAGACTACATTTTACTGCGTTTGATTTCTGTACACATTCAACACTTAAAAACATCTGTATAACAAGTAGCAGAGATCCAGGATCAGGTAGTCTGTGCACTTATAAGCTAATAGCATCAGAAAGCAGAAACTTTTGTTACTTTTTGTAATTATTCACTGTAGTTTGTAATGTTTTATGCTTTTTTTTGTTTTCAAACAGCTGCCAGTTTCTTTTACCAGCAATTTAATACAATACCTTGTTACAGTATTCCACTTGCTGAATGCTGTCTGTGATATAGGCTGCGTTGGGCCTTTATTTATACGGCCCTTATCTTACTTTTCTCTTGTATTTTATTTTTTCTCTAAGGTCCACTTGGTTTTCTGTACCAAAAATATGTCTTAATTAACTTTTACTCAACCAGTTTCAGCTCTTTATCCCTCAGAATCAACTGTGCCTTTGAGACTGTTATATGTAAATGACCTCTGTCCTGATTGGCTGCCCATTCGAAACACTCCTTATAACTTCAACATGAATGGGCGGGGCTAAACAGCAATACTAGTTTCTGTATATAAACTATATGGACTGGGAAATAAGCAGTACGTTAAGAAACTTTACCAATGTTTACATACTACATTGAACTTCCATGCAGTTTACCCTTTTAAGTTGCCTCTGCTGAGCAAAGATAGGCGCGTCATAAATATCAGTATATCCTGTTACCCTGCAGTTACAGCGTCATCATCCGGACAGGAGCTCCATTACGCTGCTTTGAGTTGTGAGTTTGTTTTGAGCACACAGTGCATGTGTGCGTTTAGTAGATGGCGAGAATGTTAACTCTCTACGTTTGTCAAGAGAGTCATCACTAGGCAGGGAATGCACTGAGGATGTATATTTATTTTATTTTATTTTATATTATTGTATTATTTTTGCCCAAAGTGTACGATTCAGATTTTGTACTGTAAATGAATCAATAAAGTGGTGCTGAGTTATAATGTGCCGGATGTTTGTGTAGTAAAGAATGTGAATGACTAGATTTATGTATGGGGTTTAATGTTTATGAGCATAAATGTTGTGTGTCATATTACATTGTGTGTAATATTTCCAGTAAAATTACACTTTGTTAATTTTCCAAGTAAAAATAAACCAACACATCCTCTACAGAGAACTTGAATGTGGCATATTTCTGCAAAATTTAGCACAATTTCTGTTTATTTGCTGTGTTTATTTTAACGGAAAGAAATACCATTAAAATATAAAATATGAAATGTGCCATAACTTTCTTTTCCAATATTAAATCTGAATCCAGCAAATAAGGAGTAATTGCATATTAAAATGTGTCTGTAGATGTGTTGACATATTTAGAAATGCATTAAAATGTAATTTGCCCAGGGGTGCCCAAACATTTGCATGCTACTGTATATATATTCCACTTGCATAAGAAAGTGGAAAATCAAAGGAAAATAAATGACCTGTTACTACAAAGTTGGAAGCACACTAAAATGTTATTGTATGTTGTAGCATATTTGCCTTCACTGCAACTAATGTAAAGCAGCCCCAGATCGTTATTCCTCCTCCTCCAAACTTTACAGTTGGCATGCTGCATTCGGCCAGGGTGTCCTGGCACCCGCCCAACCCAGATTCTTCGGGCTACCAGATGGTAAAGCATGATTCATCACTCCAGAGAAAGTTTCCTCTTCTCAGTCCAAAAGCTGTGTTCGTTTACATAAAACCCACTATTTAGAAGGGGTGTTCATATAGTTTTGGCGTATATAGTGTGTTTTACACAGCAAAAGTTAATAGTGATATACACTGTAATTATACAACAGTGTCGTCACGTTATCCGTCTCAGGATTCAGTCACCACTTTTGAATACTATCTGGATATTAAAGAGAACGTTTAGAGAATTTGTAGAGGAGAACTGCCACAGTAATCTGTTTGTCAAACACTAGAGGGCGCACCTGAGTGAGTCCAAAATTAATGGGATTAATATGGAGCATTTGAACAAAGCACTCAGTAGCAATAATGCTAACCAATCAGCACTCAGTAGCAATAATGCCAACCAATCAGCACTCAGTAGCAATAATGCCAACCAATCAGCGCTCAGTAGCAGTAATGCCAACCAATCAGCACTCAGCAGCAGTAGCAGTAATGCTAACCAGTCAGCACTCAGTAGCAGTAATGCCAACCAATCAGCGCTCAGTAGCAGTAATGCTAACCAATCAGCACTCAGTAGCAATAATGCCAACCAATCAGCAATCAGCAGCAGTACTGCTAACCAATCAGCACCCAGTAGCAGTAATGCTAACCAATCAGCGCTCAGTAGCAGTAATGCTAACCAATCAGCACTCAGTAGCAGTAATGCTAACCAATCAGTGCTAAGTAGCAGTAATGCTAACCAATCAGCACTCAGCAGCAGTAATGCTAACCAATCAGCACTCAGTAGCAGTAATGCTAACCAATCAGTGCTAAGTAGCAGTAATGCTAACCAATCAGCACTCAGTAGCAGTAATGCTAACCAATCAGTGCTAAGTAGCAGTAATACTAACCAATCCGCTCTCAGTAGCAGTAATGCTAACCAATCAGCGCTCAGTAGCAGTAATGCTAACCAATCAGCGCTCAGTAGCAGTAATGCTGACCGATCAGCACTCAGCAGCAGTAATGCTAACCGATCAGCACTCAGTAGCAGTAGTGCCAACCAATTAGCGCTCAGTAGCAATAATGCCAACCAATTAGCGCTCAGTAGCAGTAATGCTAACCAATCAGCTCTCAGTAGCAGTAATGCCAACCAATCAGCTCTCAGTAGCAGTAATGCTAAGCAATCAGCACTCAGTAGCAGTAATGCTAACCAATTAGCACTCCGTAGCAGTAATGCCAACCAATCAGCGCTCAGTAGCAGTAATGCCAACCAATCAGCACTCAGTAGCAGTAATGCCAACCAATCAGCACTCAGTAGCAGTAATGCTAACCAATCAGCACTCAGTAGCAGTAATGCTAGCTTCCTATGGCCCAAAACCCATTTGCTCTAGCAAAAAAAGGAAATGCGCAGCTGTTTTGCCTTTTTAGTGAAATACATCCTTGTACTTTCCAAAATTAAAGGAACTTCCTGGACAAATGTTTGGAAACTATTAAAATTTTTTCTTTTTAGCTGTTTAGCTCAGCTCTCCCTCACTTATTAAGAACTTACTTACAGGCGCCCTCTGGTGGTATTTTGCAGTCATGTTTTTGATATAAAGTGTAAAACAGGAAGAGGCCAGACTCCCATTAAACCTCTGGTTAACTCTCTGACCTGCTAGTCAGACGCATTTCTGTTAACGTAATCTACATAATCACGAAACCAATTCCCAACGTGGTTTTAGTAATCAGATCACAATCCGCTCACAGTGTGTCCTCGGTGTGTTTACACCTGGCTTTTCATCAAGTGAAGCCTGAATGTGATCCGGTCACCAAAAACGCATGTTAATGCAGCGGTGTAAACACAATGTTTTGGTCTAAAACGTATCTTTTTAAACACATTGATGGTGGAGTGATACATGCAGAACATTCCAAGACAAAGTAGCCCCCAAAGAAAACTTATTTTTCTGATTTATCAGTGTTTTACCATCATTAACTTTACAAAAATTCATAAGATGTTTAGGTCAATTTGCATAGTAAATAAAAAAAAAACTTTATTTTTGCATTGTAGACGTTGTGACCCCTGGTTCCTGTCACCAACACTGTAAAGAAATCAGAGTCTCCATAGTTCTCTACAATTAATCATTTCGCATCAAAACATTCTGAATAACTTTCTGTACATTTCAATGGTAGAATTATGCAAATATTTACAAAATATTGTAGATTCCCTCTTTAATTTTGTTATAACTTCTTTCTTGATGCTGTGCAGCTTTCATATTACACTGATCTACAGCTCTGCGCATCACTGTGAAGTTATGCAGGCCTACTATAATAGAATAATGCGAATTAAATGACGCCTAATAGGTGACTGCATGCTTCATGATAGTCTCACAGACCGAGTGAATAAAACTGCAGCACTCCTCTCTGCTGATCAAGCTGGACCATGAGAAACAACAAATCAGCTATCTGTTTGTTCTGGCCAGAGCCTGCGTCCCTTTTTATTTGTCTAACTTTCTGGGCCTCCAGATCTGGCACTGCATCAGAGGCTTTCGGAAATTGAAAAATAACCCTCCTTCGGAAAACAAATCTACATTAGTTCAGCTTTCACTGGAAAAATATAGGTCAAACTGCTGCATACAGAGGCTGAAAGTGATCGAGGAACTGACAAACCCAAACTACAGAAGAATACATCAGTCCCAGCCTGTAGGAGCCACTGCAGATCGAGCAGACCTCAGCTGCATTAAAGCGATACTTCAGCCAAAAATCTGATTTATACGACTTCCCCTTCACTTCAAATACA